GCTAGAAAGATGGTGAGCGTTTCAGTGTATTTGAAACTCTTGGGCTAATCTGTATTTCAGTGAAAATTGAAAGCTCACCGAAGCCCCTGAAATGAAGACAAGATTGTCTTTTATGGCCAGTAACCTTCCTCATCATACTATGAAGACTGAAATTATGTTCATATGGTCAGCCGATAAAATCAGCCTTGAAAATCTAGATTCCATGCATGATTCGTGTCCCATGTCTCACAACTTTGAAGATATACAAACAAAAAGTAACAAGTTGACAGAAGTAGCATAGAAGACAGGACTTTAGTGAGCATAGATGAGACACAGGTGATGGAGATGCACGACCACCAAACACCAGTCTCCACCAATAAAAGAAATCTGAAGGAGGTTTTCTCTTTCAATTACCTGAACTGGACAGCATCGTTTCAAGTACCACTAGATAGCATGGATCAGGATGTCAAAGTTAGTCAGGATAGAGGAAAGCAAGACCAGTGTTCATTACACTCAAATCGTTAAGATGTGGTTCTTTGGTTTAAGAGATCAATTTTAGGCCAACAGTAATGGGCTCAAGTTCCGTGTCACCTACTTCAGTCTGAGAAACTGGGTATTGTCACCACTCTTCCACACGACGGATGTGCCTCTTAGTCTGGTACAAGAAAGATCTGTTCCAGGCAATAAAGTTCAGACGACATGATGAAATCAATATGGAAACCTATAGCACACTGAATAAAAAACAACACCCAAATTTGCAACAATAATATGAAGTCCATTAATGCTTCAACATGGTTCAGACACTTGACGAGTGCGTCAATGACTGCACTTCCAACAGGTTGCTGCTTAATTTCATAAACACCTGTCTCCCTCGTAGCCTCGACATTGACTATCAAATGGCCGGCTGCAGGGGATGAGCAACAAGGTACTCCGGTAGCGTGGTGAACCGGCCGACAACTAATTAGCCAAGAGATATCCAGAAGCAAATAGAAATTGACTGAAGATACGATGAGGACTCTATTGAGTGACATCATACTCTAAACTGTTGAGTGGAAGCTGAATGGAAAGTGACAAATTGGGTGTGAGTCTGAGTGAGGTGTGTAGTACATCATGTAGAGAGAGAATGAGAGGTCGTTGGTTGGCGTTGAGTTAACCGAAGGTTATATCAGAGAACTGAATGTAGTGGAGATGTTCTGCCGATGTCCTATATTCCACTATGGACGTAAGAACTAACTAATAATAATGTATTGCGGAGTATCTGATAAAAATTGTAAATCTTCATCCAGTTAGTGCATTGTGAACACACAACTGCTTCTAAGAACTAATAACACTACTCAATATCAACATGTGTCCTACAGGTCACATTACGTTACGCAATTATCCTGTTTATTTCGAGAACGATAGATAAACAAATTTCATATGCTCATAGTAATCACCTAATACAACCTTGTTTAGTTTACTAGCTCTCTAGTTTTCTAGCGGATCTCAAGCCCAGGAGAATAGGGAGGGTTGGGCAAGAATCTAGCGACCAACCCCGGAAAATCAGTTAAACTGTTTCAGAAACTTCAACGCAAAATACAAGTATCAAAAATACAAAAAATATGAAAAACAAACTTATTCTTCGCTGGAGTCGGAGAGGCGAAACGTTGCAGGCTGATGAAAGCCTTCAAAAACCGCTCAGTTGATGTATATTCTTTCAGTGAAAGCGAAAATAAGGATGTGGATTTGGAATATTCATGCAATTTACGAAGGTGTGAAGGCTGCCCAGGTGGCTAAAAACATGAGGAAATTTGGTATGGAAGTGCCAGGAATCTGCAACAGTAGGTGGAATAGGTATAGACTTTCTAAATTATCAGTTGGAGAGTCACTAATCTACTCCGGTCAACCAGACGACAACAACAAGCACACCGAGGGAGTGGCTTTCATGATTTCTCCAACAGTAGCCAAAACCCCAGTGCAGTGGGAACCAATCTCCCCTCCAGGATTATGCCAAAAGGATTCGACTCAAAAGGAAAAAAAGGTTACATTTGTCCAATGCTATTCACACTGCTACAAACAACGTGGAACAAGAGAAGAAGGAAGATAAACATGATTTCAGTAGATAATTTGCTCTCAATCTGGAGACTTCATTGTTTCAAATAATACTGATAACTGATGTCGGACTGATATCTCAGTCTGAAATAATTTATACGATATATATTACTTTTACAAGTTGATCACACATTGTTATTAGTTAAGGAACCAATGAAAACCAGAGAGTACTGTACAGCTGTTTCATCCTAGTTTGGGAATCATTGGTAGTACGCACTCACTGGAGTTCGAACCCAGAACTTTCCGGTCACAAGGTAAGCTCGTATACCATTCAGCCACTGGGACCTGATTCAATGGACCATGAATTCCAACTTCTATCAATTCGTGATTCAGCGCGACCACCAACCAATATCATCGGTGGGTAATCCATCCCCACACTTGACTGGATGGACCTCCCTGGTCACGACCTCTCACTATAACTCCAGAAAACTCCGTCCTGTTGCAAGTCACTAGCGAGCACGGAATATAATATACAAAGCTCAATTATGAGGTATTTGTGGCTGAATGCCGTGAAAAAGTATGGTGAATGTGCGTCAATAAGTAAAAACAGCAGAGCTGTATCAAAGGCGATCCACGTGTTATTTAAACAGCACGCAAATTCCTAACACGGTATAGTGGGATACGGATAAATGATGTAAAATAGTGGTTTACCAAATAGATTCATGAAAATGTAATGTATTTTAAGGTAAACTTGTCCAAAGTTCTGCTAATCCCAATACAAGATGATTTTATTCTCATTTGCGAAATAGTTTTCTGCTGTGATTTCAGGAACATATTGGTTGATTTTGATAAATTTAATGAAATAGGATCTCGTATGTCGTACGAATATCACTTTGTCAGTAAAGCGCAAACAAAACGATGTACTGAGACAAATGTTTTCTAGATACGCTACCCAAAATAAAAATAATGCAAGGAAAATTACTGACAATATCGCATCAGTGTAGTTTTTAGTAAAACAAATGTAGTTACTTTTCACAGCCTGGAAACTATGATTTCTAGAGAAACCACATAGTCACTTTAAACTTAGATTCTGTTTGACTATGTGAATTTTAATAACGCTTTCTTTTAAGCAATACGCTACCATTTGTGTGGTAGGCTAACTCCATCTAAATTTGTCGCAATGACTCATTTTGCTGATGAAAATCAACCTAAATATGATTTTCAATTTCTAGTGACTGAATTATTATCTGAGCATATTAGGTTAAAAATACTGGACATCTGAGTATCGGCAATCCTTAGTGTTATCTATTATCTATTAAATGGTTATATCAACAAGCTTGACATGGTATATTACTACCTTTCTACTTTTAATGTATGGTTTATTTGTTAGGCTTTCTGTGTGAACTACTCTTGATTTTAACGAAGGTTGACTAGAGAAATGTAACGTTTAGGAGTTCTTACAAAACTTGATTGAACAGTGACAATCATCAGTCAACCATAATCTCATGACCAATATCATAAACACAGCTCAATTGCGTACAAACCTTTCTAAGTATTTTCGGATTATTCTGATATATTCAGTGTGACATTGTAGATAGCGATTTCGCACTAACCCTAACATTCTTCTGACACTTCTTTGGGGTTCTTTGTGATCTCTGCAGAGTTTTATTCGTTAAGCTCATCCTCCTGCTTACATTCACAGTGGGTGTTTTCTAAAAACTTAAGTTAAAAACTTAATTTTTCACTCAGCATATTGGTTACAACTTTCGGATAGCTAAAAACACTTTTTTTAAATAATTAACTGTGAAATTAAATTTACTGTTACAAGATTGTTATCATTACTATACAGTTTTGGTACAAATTCTTGAACTGATGACCCATTTACTTAAATCCATCAGATCGTTTTTTTGACCAACTTTTTAAAATAATTTTATATAAAATGTACATATGCACAGTCAGGAAATGATCATTGGTCAGCCAGTAACTTTTTCTTGGTGTTGTCGATTATTGCTTAACATGTTATACACAAGTATTATATTCACAGTCACCAAATTATTTTGATTGTATTAAGTGCGTTAGCCTTCATTAATTTTTCAATATTTTCACTGTTGTTTAAAGCATTAATTTGATTTCTTCAAATTTACTAGCAACACGCAAAGAAGAAGTCAACTAAGAACAGATAGTCTGTATTTTTTGTGTTATGACCACTGATTTTAGCTTCATTCCTCTACGTTCCGAGCAGAAGTTTTAAGTTTCAGTAGCCGTGGTGTTGTTTTTATGGAGTGAGGTTGCAAGCCACATGCCCAACCTTCAATCTTTACCGGACTTATTACCGATTAGTTGAGGTTTAGGAGTGCATCATCGGCTGAGGATCGAACCCAGACCACGTGCGTGTTCCACCACTGAACCATTAATGCATGTCAGTTTTGATGAGTAAATCCTATAAAACATCACTTCACGACAGAGTATAAGTATCAGCCTTGACTTTCTGTTGTCACTGCTTTTAAGTATATTTTTGACTTTTAATATTATAGTCGGATGTCAAAACTAAAAGACATTTGATCTATAGTTCGATGAATTTTATATTTTTTTTAAGAAAAGAGGCAGATTACACTTCCAATACTAGTGCTGTTCCCTTTTCATAACTGAAGTGAACATTGACTATAGTATTTGTTGTAGATCAAATATTTCATCAGTGACTGCTTTGTAGGCATACTGCCTCAAACTCCAATTTGATCTGTGAAACCTTATCATACTTTGAACTATTCATACTGAATTAGCACCTAAAAATAAGAAATTCGCTTAGCTCAGTTAAATATTCACACTTTCAAAGTCGGAGTATTTTAAGCAAAAAGTAAATTCTTTCTGACACTGTTTTTCGATATCCATTTTCTTCAATTGATTTTCGTTTGATGTGTAAAACTAGTAATGTGTAACTAGTAATAAAACCACCCTTCAGTCATCAACGATGTTTCTTTTTACCTTTACAGAAACCGACTTTGAAGAACCAGAAAATCATATTGTTCGGCATAAACCGGTTGGTATTAATACATTACTGAGGAAAACACGCTTTTCAAGAAAAGAACTACAAATTATGTATCAAGGTTTTAAACAAGTAAGTCGATTTTAAACATTCAACTAATATTTAGCTATATTCTCGTCTTTATTCCTAGTGTATATAACTGAAGTTAGTAGTATGTTCTACCTGGGTTTTTAGCCCCTATCGGTGACTAGAAGAAAATTCAGCTTCATATTTGGATTAAACTGAGCTTCATTTGTTGTACCCTCCCACTGTATACAATTCTCATAATATATCTATAAACCTACGAAGATGAACTAGTATAAATAAGGATATACATAGAGAAGTGGGAAACCACAATTGGCTGCTGATAACTATATTCACTAGTATACACTAATTTACATGCGCGAATTGGTCAGCTGGTCGATGTCTACGCTCACTCAAATATAAATTATCCCTCATAATCATGACTATAGTAAGAACGAAGTCCTGGCTATATACTAAGCCTGTATTACCTCATTTGTAAGAATTAAAACGTTGTATTCTAGAAGTCAATGCACCTAAAGGTACAGCTATTCTTGTCTGTAGAAAATTAGTTCAATTTTCTTAGCGTATACTCAATCTTCTTGTTCTAACCAGTGAAAACAATCTACTTCAAACTGCCTACATATTTTGTGTTATTTCTAAGTTAGTATAAGAGTATCTGACGGCTGCTACTCAATGTCAGTTATTAGTTTGGCTGTTTTACCTATGTTCACTAAGCCACAGCTTTTGATGTTTGTTCTCAGAGCATGATTTTGATTTGCAGGTAGTATTCCTTCTCCTCACAAAAGAGATACGACTCATTACACAAATATGGATATTAGGTCTACCACTTTGTCTATTTTCTTCCACTGTTCATGTCTAGTGAAATTAAGGTGGAATATATCCTTGAGGCGATAAACCTTTTAGTTATTTCAAGTGTAAAATCTATCCACACTTAATCGTTTATTGACGGAGACTAGACTCATTTATGTTAAGCGTAATATTAAATTCACCCTTTGTAATCAAAGGGAGTTAGACATTCAGGGCCAATTTCATTTCTGTGCTTTCAGACTACGAAAAGTCAAGTTAAAAGCACTGAATGACTATTTTAATATAATTATTGGCAATGCACTCTTCAAGGAGTTGCACTAAAATCAAGTGACACGGGGTCATCGTTTCCTCTGGTTCACTACTCATTAGTAACTAACTGGAAATGAATACCTGAAGTTTTAAGATGCTACCGATAAGACCAAACATATTTCACACCAATTACATTGCATAATGTTTATGATACATAACATATTGACGAAAATTTTAAAAAACTATGAACATTCAAACTGTGATTCAGTAACAACAGCAGTTCACTAGTCATTATACTTGGTGGTCTTAAATTCGATACAGTTCGGTATAACGGGTGTGTTTCGCTGAAGAGTTTCATGGTAGAATTAATGCTGATTTCTCCATTATGGATAAGATTTTATTTTGATAAGTCACACACACATAATGGAGTTATACTCTACCACAGTGCCGAAGTTTTATACTTATATTAATGCTGATTTTTAATCAAAGGTACTTTAAAACTGATCCGCATCAAGTATCTACCTCCTCAAATAAGCAGATTTTCTCTTCACAACTCTTTTTATTATATACTCACAATAATTTGAGCGCATATCTAACCAATAAGATAAAATAACTGTGAATAAACCATTTAAGTGATAGTCACTTGCCTCCAGCATTGTTCTGGCCATAGAGGTAGCTTAACTATAAAAGCTTGAGTCGGAAGAATGTAAATCAATAAGGCACATACATATACGTGAATAAACTTCTGTAAACAGGCTTTAGAATGACATCTCGTTTTATGCAAATTACTGACCTCTACGTTACTGTTCCAATAAAGCCTTTCAACTTAATGATTTCCCGCTTAGTGTGAGTTATGAAGTTACAACAGCTTGTATACCACTTTTATTGAAATAAATGACTTAGCAAATTAAGTTCACAACTCATTAATTTATCAATGATTGAATAATATGTGTCCTGTTTATTTCACAACAGAGGAGAATTTACATATTTGATTTGATTTACTTAACTTCATCACTGTTACTATTATTCATTCAACTTGGATAAGGTCTTGTATTGTAAAAATGATCTGTATGAAATCAAATCAAACATCTACATACTAAGAAAAGTATGTTAATCCTAATATCTTTAGAAGGGTACGTTTGACTAGAGACAGTGTATATAATTAATGTACGGATAGAATTTGGACACTGTAGTAGAATATAATTCCACATTAGATACGTTTATTAGTAACTGCATGACATTTTGACCACAACGGCGGTTAAAATCACAAATTTACAGAAGTTAGCATTAATGTGCCAACCACCGGATTGCATCATAGTGTCTGGATGGTCAACACACTCACCTAGTAACCTGAAGTTCCTGGGCTCGGTCCATGGCTTTCATGTCATGAGTGCGTACTCATGAAGAGACTCAAACTAAGACGAAACAGCTCTGCGGCACTCTGTGGTATTCAAAGGTCGTTTAACTGATATTAAACTGTGATCAAAGTTGGAAGAGTATTTCATGTAAATAATATTTTCGATGCAAGCAAGGATGAGATATTGAGTTACTGAAGAACAAATAGCACTACAGATTTTGGCTCTTTGGTATTGAACGTCCACAATCCCTTGAGAGGTAGTGAATGAGCACCGAAGAAATATTACGCTGGAGAAATACTTCCAATTTAAAAATTAATGACTGGCTTATCTTCTGCCATAACACGTTGGCTCAATAATTTCTAAATTTTCCATTATATTTTAAATTATCGATGTTTTCCCTCCAGCTTCAAATAATTTGCAAAGGAGTGTGAACATAAGCCAAAGCAAAAACCGTAGTGAAAACGAATGCGTAAGGATTAATATATGTATAAAACTTGGGCATTGTGGTAATAAGTAATTCGAAACGTCATCCAGTAAATAGTGTTGTTACGCTGTGTGGTATATCTAATACACAAACTAATATGGAATGCATATGGATGTTATGTTGCAACACAGCTTTACTTCATATTATTACCTGATATTATCTTCATTTTCTGTAATTTCACTCTGCCCGTTTTTTCTTATTGTATGATTTATTTTTATATTTCTGTTTGATATAATTAATAGTTATATTTTAGTAATTTATAGATAAAAATATTTTTTCAAAAAGACTATTGCTTTGATAAAAAGGCGACATACTCATGACAAAATAAAAATTCGATAGAAGCACATGTTTTGACAGAAAATCAAATTTTAAGTTACATCAAATTAGTTATATGCCAGACAAAATCAAGAAAATGAAAAAAGTATCAATTTGCGGAAGATTCAAATGGAAAGAATTATTCTGAAGTCAAGACCAGAATATATGAATCATTATACTGAAAGAATATTACAGTATTGCAAGGTTAAATAATATTAACAGACGGGACTTCACTGTTTTACTATGCAGTAATAAGTCTGCACAATATTATCTTTATTACTCCGTTGGGTTCCGAGTAGAACATAGGGCTTTGACAGCTCATCTCCATTTCATCCTGCTCTCTGAAGTTCTTTTCAGCTGTCTCCCTTATCACGCATAAGCTTTCACCTCCTACTAACACAATCTCCTCCATATCAACCTCGGACTGATGCCCAACTCGTTGTTTTCCGATCGGGTTTAACTCGAGTACTGGCCTGGTAAGCGACGTCTGCCAAGAATCTCCTCAGTGAGTCTCTAACCTATCTCCATTTCGTCCGGTATATTGCTGGTCAATAGGCTTTTGGCTGGTTCCCTGACAGACTTTCTTGTCAATAATCTTTACTGGCTGGTCATCTGACCTTCAGTATGAAGCGGAGGTGGCAGATGTTGATAAAAGTCTGCAACCTCTTAATACTGCTTTCGGTAATGCGTGAGCGGAGCCCCTGAACCTTATAAAAACACTGACTGACTTAACATTAGTGTTGGAAATCCGGATCTTGTTGCTTTTGTCGGGTGTAGCAAATTTCCACTTGATTTAAGACTAATGAAGGTCTATCTTCCTGTTCTGATTCTGCCTTCAACATCCTCATCAGTGCCTCCTGTATATGGCGCGACATTACCTAAATAAGTCAAAGAAGTGACTTTCTTCAGATTCCTCCCGTTGATAGTAATTGGTGCTCTTTATTATTGTTGGCTATCCGATCTCTTCATAACTTCTCACACCTGAATCGAAGTGATTGATGGTATACCACTCGGATATGAAGCTGTCGACTACGACTACAGAAAGCTGATTCAAAATCAGTAGTTACAAAAAATACTACAATTCATCAGTGTTCATATAACGGAGTGTCATTTTTCAATCTCAGTCTTATGATTCTGTAGGCATGATGCATTCATAGTAGAATGATAAACTCTAAGTCTTCTGTAATGTGAAGTCCATACCCTATTGGAGACTGAGTCTAGATTGATCAGATTAAAAGACAAAAGCATCTCTATTCTGTTGGCTGATCAGTCGACACAAAATACCAATATATCATACAGTGACTGCAGTGACCAACTGTCTTCACACCTTAATTAAGCAACCTCACTAATTCAAATTTATAAAACTTCAGGAATTATATGCATCTACGAGCTTTTCAATTATAACAGAATCTTTCTAGATATCAGTCAGTTTCATACAGAATCTCACAAGTGTATAAATGAAAAAAACTAGGTTTAGTGGTTATCTTAAAAATAAACTCTTCTAAGTTTCGGCGAGAAACTTTGATCTCATCAAGATATAAGGATAGCTATTCAACGGTAACTATCAACGCAGATCGAACGATTTAGTAAAGTGGTCGTATTTGGAAGGATTCGACTGAGGGTTCTAACTTGTTTTATTAAATAGTAGCGTATTTGCTTTCAAATCCCAATCTCTTGGACTAAGATTCTTGTTGGGCCAATGGTTTGCACTGCTGGGAGTAAATGATTACACTTACAGTGATGAAAAATGTGCTAGGTGATTTTGTACTCGATACCACTTGATAGCAAGATCCGCCTTCAATTAAATTGAACTTAATAAGCCTAGCGTCTGTAATATATCAGTTATACTTCCAGATACGTGGAGCAATAGGTTTAATGGGACACTTCTGACATCTGTAAGCACATCAATCTCTATAGTGACTTTATAATTAACAACAGCAACACTTTATATGATTTATTTTCATTGTTTAGGAATGTCCAGCTGGTACCCTCAACGAAGATTCATTTAAAGATATTTACTGCAAATTCTTCCCCCAAGGAGGTGAGTGGGGTATTTGTTCACATTTCGTTTATTATTATTATTTTACAGAAAGAATTCTTCAGCTATTTTTCAGACATTCGAGTTGTTCATTGAATTTTTATGCTTGCATGTAGTAAAGTCTATTCATAAAACAAAATCAATAATAAGGAGTTTAAAAAGAAATGCTGTTTAGGTATTTTGTGTAGGATATTAGTACAACTAAATCAATAAAGTGGTAACATACTGTTTTTAAGTTCAAACAAATTAATAAACTCAACGAGTGTAGACTGGATGGTATCCGAAATTAAGAACATGAGGATTTAATTGCACTGTTTTTAACAGACTTACAAGCTATCAAAAACCTGTTAATGTGAAATTCGAAACAGTTCATGGCATAATTTATTTTGTGTTTTGTAAGAGTTTGGCTTAGATTTCATACAAATTATATGCAAAATATATTTTTTCTATATTAAACATTGTTTTCTACAGGGAAAAAGGAGTCTTCAAAAGTAACTCTCTAAAGGTTAGGAAACAGACGGAATTCATGCTTTCAACTTCAGTGGAATTCCATAATTGTGTGTGTTCTAGATATCGTTTATTTCGTCAACCAACGACATATCAGGTGACATTCAGAAAGAAAATACTTCTGCCTTCAAGAAATTACAAGTAACTAGTCTGTGGTTCACGCTTAATATTAGACAGATCATGTGCAAAGTTATTCTTTTTAAATTAAAAAATACGGGACAGAAAAAGAAGGTCAAAGCCTAACATTAATTGTTAACTAAGCACACTTAATTGTATATCAGAAATCGAAAATAGTGAAATTAAGAAATTACTAAAGCAATGTTACGTAATCAACGAAAAACCGAAATAATAAACGATGAAAGAGCCCACAAATAGTTTATTGAAAGTAAGAAGAGAAGGAAAAGTCTGGTTTTTTCAAGTGAGGTAATTAAAGGGAAAATGATATTTGGGATACAAGGAAAGTTATTACATTATAGCTGGAAAAGTCATTAAACTAAAGACATGACAGTAAAAAAAACTGTAGGGATCGAAACTCTGTAAAGATGTAAGCGGAATTCGTCTAGTAAAATATACCTAGATTTACAGAAATAGGTGAACTGACACACTCACGTACATTAATGTTGTTAACAGTGGAATCTTTGCTCTAATCTTAATGAACAAGGATATATGATAAAAAAGGTGTGATAGTTGGGTTTTGTGAAATATCAGACTTCTTCCACTTATATTCCAGTTATTCAGGTTTGCTCTGCATTTTACAGAGCAGTTTTCACAGGGATTCCAGTTCTCTCTCGAATTTACCTAATGCGAACATATAATAGAATCTTGAGGCAAAGGAGATTGTAAGGTTTCTTTTGCTGTTCACGGGAGACATACGTTATAGTGAATAGCTGGAGATTTAGAAAGTAGAAATTTACTTATATACTGAACTTTATTTATCATTGCAATGTAAAGGAAAGTTAAATGAAGCTCCTATGACCGTTGCAAAATTGATGATAGTGATATCGAAATCAAGTCTGAAGTTAAATACCTTGGATTAATTCTTTCTTCTGACCTATCCTCGTCTTCCCATGTGTTAGAGATTTCTAAGAGAAAATTTCGTCTGACTTTTTACACTAAGCAGTTAAGGCACTCAGACATAACTCAACCCCTCCTCCTACAGTTTGTCAACTCGTTCATCTTAACTATTCTTCTTTATTGTTCACCCTTTTACTTTCCTGGATTGCTTAAAAAAGACTATTTCATACTTCACAGAAGTATGAGGACTGTCAGTAGGGCGAGTGGTATCACATTGAACCATATCGTTGACATCGTCATTGACAGGCAATTGATTTCATGCAGCAAATTTGCTGAAGGAATTTTGTCAGACTGTGAGCATCCACTTCACCCGCAGCTCGAACATTGTGTCTCTTCAGTTAAAACAAGAAGTCTTTTCAAAAGACTTAATGCATGTACGTATAAGTATAAAAATTCAACTATACCATATTTGGCAAGTATTTTATGTGATGAAAATAGTTTCAGGTATGAACTAACTAACCTTCTTTGCACTAGTAAATAAACCATTTTCTCCACCCTTACAACATCAAGCTTTATTGTTATTTTTCCGTTTTTATTTGTTTATTTTCTCAAAAGTGTAAACACCATTTAAGCTGTGTTATAACTGTTAATTTTGTATTTCCCCTCACTATACTATATCAAGAGAACATTAGATTCAATACTCTATAACATGCTAAAATTTTCAAACTGAATCGACAATACTGTTTGAAACAAACTCACTGTTATTATTATCATTATATTTATTATTCTCATTTTGTACTTCGAATATCTTTGATTTTATCCCATAAATCTGGACAGATTCCTCTGGTTATTTTAACTTTAATTTTATTGATATTTTGAGTATATCAAATGCAATATTGTGACAACTGTTGAGAATTCCATTCTTTATTATAAGTACAGTTTTTGGAATAAAGTAGATTACTAATTATTATTATCATTATTGAATTTCAGCCTAAGTGGCTACAAGTTCAATGAATTTGAACCTTAAGGTTCTTAGTCAGATTCCTGGTGAGGGCGTGGGCACGCACTGGTGAAGACTCTTAAATTTGGAAGAAGTAGCTGTCCAGCACTCACTGGTTTTCAATAATCACTGAATGATGTTGTTTCTTAATGAAATCAACATTGAAAGCAATCCTAAATGTCAAATTAATTTATCAATGTTAATCGTTGAAATAAAGTATAATTATCCATAGTTTTGGTTTGTAAGGGTTAGTTATGTTTTTACGAGTTGGTCACGGATTGATATCAGTACTCCCTGGTTTTCAATGGTTCTCTAACTGATATCAATCCGTGACCAACTCGTAAAAGTGTAATTATATTTCAATAGTTTACACACAATGATAAGTTTTGTTATTGGTAATATTTCGGGCAAAATTACTGCCCGTGTTCACACCACTGTTGGAATTGTTTTAATCGTTGAAGACTATCAGAAAACTTTTCAAGTCAACCTCTTCACCGATACAAATAAAAACGTTATCTATATGTGATTTATTATTTTTAAACTATTCGATGGTCTACTGCTTTTTATTTGAATCTAGATGGGCCTTGAAGTCGTTAGCAAGTAATGAACTAGGTTAAAGAGTTTTCGTTAGTGTGTCTTTCTATAGATGTACTCTTTTATTGTATAAAAATTAAGCGCTTAGCCTACACTTTTATATCACTTGTATGCTTCACTATAATGATTCACGGAGACAGGGGAGAGATTCCGGGATTAATAATCTGACACAAGAGATACAACAGTTGCAATGGCAACATTAACGAAGACCAGAATGACTGCTATAGTGTAAAGACTTTGTCCATGTACTTTGAACTTGATTTTGTGCTGAATAAACCTTCCTCAGCTCGTTTTCTGTTTGCTTTGTTTGTTTGACTACGGTTCTGTTTGCTAGAAACTGTAGCAGTGCATCGATGTTTAGATCGTTTGAATTGATAAAATATCCCGTCTCGTTTAACTAGGATAATTGGCATCAGATGAAACACAGAACTTCACTAGATATGGCCAATTTATAGTTTCAGATTTTGTTGTTTTTATCACTTGAGTTTCAGCATCATCTTCTTGTAAGGTTTTAGCATTTCTGTCAGCCATCACTTCACAGAGTAGCAAAGTTGTCAAGTTATATCCAGAATTAGACAATTGAGTAACTTATTCTTATGAATCTGTACTAAAGTATAAAGACATGTCAGTACTTATTGATAAATGAGTCCTGTTTCATTTAGGATAATTCTGTCTTGATTCCATTTATTTTTTTGGAGTTTGTTTTCTTTCGATGTGCCTTATGATTCACTGTCAATACATGACAATACTTTTTAATGACTACATGGTCAAGTTTTTCTACACTTTTCATTGTTCAGCATTCTCTATGCTAGGAGTAAAAGTCAGGTAGCCCTGAGTCAATTTCTCATCCCTATTTATCGCGATCAACAGTGATTTATTGATAAACTCTACTCTTATTGAAAGATCTAAAAATGAATGACTGGTAAGCAGTTTAAATCTGTCCCATTACATATCAGTTTACTTGTTAAACATTCGAAATTTTTTAATCTGTCTGTTGATGAATTATGGATTATCAGTTAATAAAAGAATATTCATATTCATAGACTTATTATGTCACAGGATGGACTGTGCTGGTGCAGAAATGCAACAGTCCATGAGAATTAAACTAAAGCCCCAAGTTTTAGAACATAAAATATTACACTTATTTAAAAAGACCTTTATTTAGGAACAATAAGAAAACAAGAGATACGAATATATGTAGACATCGCATACTACTGATTGACAGATGAAATTTCACTCCTACTTTTTTGGAAATCCATGATATGTGGTCTGCTTGACATTATGAAATGAAACCTTTTAAAACAAATATATCAGCTTATTCAAATTCTTCTATTCCGGCTTTATCATTCCTCTTAATAAAGCCGTTATAAGAACAGACGTTGGATGAATGGGCTTCTGAAATGTCTTATTATCGTTTTTAGTTCAAAGTAGCTCTCGTATAAACAGTTTAAGTGGTGAAGTATTTCAAAGAAGTAACGAATAATTCACGAGCTGAGCTTGTCGACTGGATGGTAAATACCCCAAGTCTTTTACAACAACAACCTCATAAAAAGAGTATTTATTGGAAACATAATGGAGAAAACATCGTGAATGAAGACATGAATTAAATTACTGGCCTCTAGGATATTTCTTCGGGGACCCAATGGCTTACGTTCACTTTGAACCACAATAGTCTTTCATATAAAGGTTATTGAATCTGACAATTTTTACTGAGGGAATTACAGATCAAATTTTCGCAGAGAAATACTTGCTATGTTGAAAAAACTGTTAGTTAGCCTCATTTCATCTGACTTAGTTGTTACACTGTATTTCATAGTTGATAAATTTCTATTAGAACACTTCGGAATAAACGTCCACATTAATGGTCTCATTTGGCGTCCAGCGTGTT